TGTTTACACACTCACATTGTGAGGTCTCGCCTACTTTATGGGGACAAATGGCAAGGTAAATCCTCAAATTTTAGGGTGAAGGCTTGAGTCAGGTTTAGGGTAAGGTTAGGGTTAGGTTCAGGCAGGTAGTTGTGATGAGTCAGGATAAGTCTCCAGGAAATGAATGGAAGTTAATTGAAAGTGATGGAAACACAACATGTGTGTGTGTGTGCGGGCGCACGCGTGCATGGGGTTAGGGTCAAATGTCGGATGTATTTTGGTGGTTTATTGTTCTGTGAAATGTTTACATTGTTTGTTTGTTGTTTGATTATTGGTTCATCCTTGTACTAATAAAACGTATTGTAGAATAACTTGGTTTTGAGTACTCTTGTCGCACAATGTTGCCTTGAAGCAACAAACCAATATCTGTTTGGGGGGAGGGTGTCAAACTTTATGATTGATATATTATTAGGGACCCTAAAGCTCCCCCAAAATACGGTGAAATATTTTTTTCCCAAAAAAATTAAAAAGTCATGCAATAGAGGGTTTTAATAAATCCGTTTAAAAAGTATTTATTATTTATCTACGGTACAAGAAATAAAGTCATACTTTTATTTTCGTTATATATTTTATTTTATTAAATTATTTATTTACGTTCCGCGACTTTATCTCGTAACACAATGACGTAATCCTTTGTCTTGAACAAAGGGTGTATTTGTTTACATGCACTGCTTTGTCCGGCGCTGAGGTCTGGTCTCTGTGTGCGGGGTTTGCTGCGGGACGACGCTGATGTTTTGCAGAATTCCGTGACTGTCACAAACTGGGACCTAATCGCGCCTTCAGTGAAATTCAAAGGTTCATTTCTCAGGCTTGAAGCCGTTAGTAAACTGAAGCTGAAATATGACCAGAAGATTTATGACGACTCACAGAGACGCAGATTTTCAGTGTTTTACACTCGAATTGCTCTCCTTTCTCTTTGCCGGCCAGCAGGGCGGGGACTGTCTCCCCATTACAAACAACAGTAACAAAGGTGTGTTTGATTTATTAACCGCTGAGCCCCGGAGGATGGTAGACCAGCGACATCCTGCAGGACCAAAGGGATTTTTTCCCCCTTCTCATTTAATTTAGTTTTGAAGTTTAGATTCAATAAACCTATATAAATGTTTAAATTAAAAGAAAAAAAATTATGCAGTCTTTATTTAATTATTTTATTTCTCATATATTTCATTTTCAGCTCCCAGTTTAATAAGAAAATTATCTTGAACTGTTTTCTTAATGTCATAACTGGAATTTTCTGTTGTAATTTAAAATTCATCTAATAGTTTTTAGTTCTTATCAAAATTTATACTTTATAAACTTCGTTTTATAATTTTTCAAAAATATATATTTTTAATTTAATTTAACTTTGTATCTTAAATGTTTCTTGTTTTCTTTATTGAAATAAAATTTTCTTGAATCTGATTTAATTTTTTAAAAGCTTGTGTTTTATATTTTAACTTTTTCTTTTACATTTGTCAGTCATTTGGAACAGATTTATTCACACCTCAATACACCCTGTCACTTTTGTATACCACGACATATATTTGCATGAATACATCCTTTTATATTTATTTATATTCTATATTTATCTTCATCTTTATATTTATAGCTCTATATCTATCTATTTATCTTAATATTTATCCATCAATATCTATTTTTCTACACTAATTTTATTGAAGTGCTTGATGTTTGTTGTATATTTTCTGCTATGACAGCTTAATTTCCCTCTCGGATTAACAAAGTCTCTGATTCTGATTCATGTTTATTTTTGTTTTACATTTTGTTTTGTTTTAAATTTGTCCACTTTTTCTATTGTTTATTTAAGCTTTTGTTTAACATTTTGTTTAATTTTATTATTGTTTATTTTGTCTAAAGTTTGTCTGTTTTTGTTCAGGCGGACAGGTCCTGCAGGATCACTGAATTCTTCGGTACGTATTTTTCTGTAACACCTCAGCGCTCTCACGCTCGACCTGCGCGTGCCCGCCGTCGCGGTGCCCTGTCCCTTTAAGAGCCTCGTGTTGTTACAGGAAGTGTGAGGGGTGTTTCCAGCTGATCTGAACAACAGGAGGACCTGAGTCTCCCTCAGCAGTCCGACCTGTCTGTGCTTTTTTCGGGCACCTTAGCAAAGCCCGCCGGTCCCGACCTCCGGCGGCTCCTTTGCGCCGCGAAGAGACAGTCGTTCCGGGGTAAATCAGGAGGAGAGCCAGGGGCTTATTCTCGTCCGATAGCCGTGAGCCGGTGCCGTCGGAAGCTGTTAGCTCGGACTGTCATGATCCCAGCTCGGAGATGGCGTCCTTCCCCGGTTTGTGTAAGGCTGTCGGGCCCGCGGAGGAGGAGAACGGGGAGCTGGACGGATCCCTGCAGCAGATGCTGAAGGCCATCGCGGACGAGAGGAGCCGCCTGAACAGCCGACAGGAGATCAGCGGCATCGGTGAGTGTCTGCGTGCTTCTTCATATCCATACAGGCAGCACCTGAACTCCCGTGAGCAGGGATGAGCTCTCTGGCGTGTTTCAGGCTGGCTCTCATTTATCTGTGGGTCTGGTTTACTTTGGAGCAGGGCCGGATCTATCTGCTGAAGCCCCCCGGGGCTGCACTCTGGTGTTGGGACCCCGTGAAGACCCAAACACAGTGCTCTCCTCGCTTTCTAACCCAGCAGATGTTTTCATGTTTAAGCATTGGTGGACATTTCTTTAAACTAAAAACTAAAGACAGGTGTGAAAAGGTTTTTTAGTTAACCAAAAAAGTCTAAAAATGCACATGCTGTTCAAACAGGGTTAGGGCTTAGAGCCACAGCGCACAGTGGAGTTTTAAAAATACAGTAAATAACTGCCAATGTTAAATAAGAAATTGCAGGTCCTCTAGTGTCCACCAGAGGCTCCAGCAGTGAGCAAATGTCCAATTTTACAGCAGAATAAAAGCCCCAAAATGTTGGAGTGATTATAAAATAATGATCTGAAGGAAGCTTTGATCAGTAAAAATAATAATTGACATAATGTAATGACATTTTTGGTTAGTTTTCTAAACTCTGAGCTCCACAAAGGTCAGAAATCTGTTTTCTGAGGAGGACCTGAATGTCTCCTCAATCTCTATGTTTCTGTTTTTTGCAAGGACTGTGTTGAGTCCTCGTGACTGCCTTGTCGCCCGGTCCTCGTCATGAGCCTCGTTGAAAATAAAAATGAAAGTTGATCTTTGCTCCGGCCTGCGTTTGCCGCCAACATCGTCAGAGCATCGCTCCGCCTGTTCCTGCTGCTCATTTGTTCTGATGGATAAATCAATGAAGCTCTGTTCACAGCACATGACTTCATCACAGCAGCTTCACTGTCATCACCAGGAGCAGAGCAAATGTCAGACACTGCAGTGCTACCTCTGCTTCGTGTCATCGTACAGTCTCGAGCCAGGCCTCATTTCTTTCTTTCTTTTCCACTGTATTAAACTAAATAGAAATCATAGTTTGTACAAATCTGATGAGCTTGAAAACTGATCTGTGGTCTGACCACATTATTTCCTCCTGTCATTACAGAGATGAGCCCGGTCTTGGGTCTTTTCAGATTCTGATCATCTGCTGTAGATGGTTTTTAGGCCTCACTCTTCTTCTTTTGTCCTTCACTTGTCCACTTTTCCCTCTTTTTTTTAAAAATAAATAAATATATTTTTCTATTTTTTTTAGGACACACCAGAGATAATCTAGGTTTTCGGCCTTTTGAAAATCACCTTGTTAGTACAAAAATCGTATTGATGTTAAACTGTTTTATCTTTGGCACATTCTCATTTCTTTAACAGAACTAAAGAAATGAAGTGTTTCAGGGATCATCTGGTAATAAAAGACATGATTAAATGATTCGTTGCTCAGGTGGCCATAATGTGCAGATGCAGCACTGGTTCATCTTTGGATTTGGAGCCTTTTCATGTTTGAATGATTCACAGAGTTCAGAGAATTAACAAACACGATCCTATGGAAATGCTCTGGTACGAGGACTGGACTGAAAAGAAGTGAAAAAGCAGCCAGTGTCCAAAGAAGAACTTGTACTGCTGTTTAAGAGCACTTTAAAAATTCATAGAAACTCTTGACTCCTTAAAAGCAAAAGATGAGTTTTGGCTCAAGACTTTTGCACAGTATCATAAACTAAGCATTGGGTTTCGAGTGTTGATCACGTGAAACATCCTCAACTTAAATAATAATGAAACCAGTTGATGGAGTTTGACTCTACATGTTTCTCAAGGCTGTGGCTTCAACTTCATTATATTGAAGGTTTTATAATACAGTGGATCGTTTATTAGCTGAACTCAAGGAGAGAAAGTCAGTCTGTGTTAGTTTTATATTTAAGGCCACAAACACAATTATTTAAACCGAGCTAATGTTTTAACCCTGGAGAACCAATGGGGTCGGCTCTGACCCCATTGGTTCTCCAGGGTTAATAGAGTCGGGATTAGTTTACAGTGACACAGATCTATTTTTTCTGAATAAGAGCACGTTTCCAGACTAATCGATCAATAACTTAAATATCGTAGAGAAGAGGAGTCTGTGGATACGTCACAGCGTTTGTGTGACACCTGCAGTATCACACACACATGCACCCCTGTGGTGTCACACAGGGCAATATTTAACAGTAAAGACTGTGCAGCGGGGCTGGGGGTGCTCCTGTTTCTTCATGCAGACTCTGTCGTGTCCTTGGATGCTCCTCTGCAGGCGGCTGGTGGTGACTCAGGTCTGATCCGACAGTGACTCAAGTCTTTGCTCTGATCACAGAATAACTCGGATCAGTCTCTCAGACACAAAAACCTGGTGATGTCGCTAAAAACAAGCATGGTGAGTATATAAGCTCACACACAGCTGACAATCGCGACAGCTGACTCAATAAGGAAACTGAGGTTTTTCACATTAAAAGCCTAAGGGATGTGCTTACAGTTCTGTTTTTGCTCGTTTACACAGTAAGAATTTATTTTATTTTATTTCAGCTTTTATGATAAACCATGAGCTGAACATGCTTCAGATATTTCACTTATCAAGCTCTTCACAGGAAATGATAACCAGCTGCCTCCCTCCTCCATGTTGGGGAAACGTCCTCCAGCTCGCCGCTGAAGAACCGCCATCACTATCAGACCGTGGGCCGAGAGGCTCTCTGGAGAGTCAGCTGAATGAAAACACGGGAGAGGAAGGGGAAAGGCGAGCTGAGTATAGTGGCGGAACTTTCAAAATAAGAGCATAAAGCCATTGCAGCTAGCGTAGCTCTTGGGGCAAAGCTCCACCTGGGCAGTCCACACAGGTGAGGTCTGTGTGTGGTGACAAGTGGCATGATGTCAGCTCCGGCAGCACCTCTGCTGGGTTAATGAGCAGCTCAGAACTCTGGGTGTGACTATTATTCTGCATCCACACCTGAATAAACACAGCTGCTGAAAGTTTGATAGAAAATAGAAAAACATGGAGGGCGATTAGACCGCCTCGGTGGTTTTTATCGGTTGGTGCCGGCTCGTATAATTTGAATACGAGCTCTTATTTGAGAATTTACGGTCTGAACTATAAATACTCGCTGAGGCAGTTAAGCGGCAGCCAGGCGAGGCAGAGAGATTAACACGAATGATTTAGCTTTAATTACCTCCTGCTGTAAATACTCTCACATCAGCGCAGCTTTCACGCTGACGCTACCGGAGAGAGCGTCCATCGATCGTCTGAGATCTGCTCTTCAGGAACTGTGGTGCAGAGTTACCGCCGATCTGACCGTGACTCGCTCTCTGCTGACAAATTATTACAAATCCTGCTAAATATTTAATGAGGCCGCAGTCCGAGTCCGGGCAGAGGTGGTTGAAGTGCTCCAGTTTGTGTCTACGTGCACATATGTGTGTGACCGCAGGACATCACAGCAGGAGGCCTCCCATCTGTGTACAGTCTGTCTGTGGAGTGGACTGTTGGAGCCAGACTGTAAAGGTTTAATGTACAGGACCAGTTGTTACCGTCTATTTCCTTTAATAAGCGAATGCAAACATCTCAGTGCTGCGTTTATTTAGCCGATTGGTTTTTAGCTTTAATTTATGTAAGGCTGTAAACTTTGAACTTCTAGACAAAGGTTTTTGTAATTTGTTTAACAAAAAGTAAAATCAGACCTGTTTGGATCATTTTCAGAGTAGCTTTGCATGATTCACAGTTTAAAATAATCCTGTATTTATTCCCGAGCCTTGCTTTAAAACTGTATTTCCCAGATCGTTGGTGAGTGGTTGCTCGAGGTTACTGGCTGGTTTCAGCGAGGGTGACAGCAAAACAAACCTCCCTGTGGCTGCTTTGGTCAGCAGAAGATTGCTGCGGTCTCGTGTAGCTGGTGTAAAAGAGTTTCACTCAGTGTGTCTGCAAACACAAGTGTGACACTGGAAACGTTCCTTACCACTGTGACTTTAGTGACCCTCAGTGCGCTCAGTAGGGATGTTTTGGTGCTCAGAAAGAACATTTTGATTATATTTAAAGCACAGTCTGTGTAACCTTTTAATTTAATATTCCAGATATTTCCTCCCAGCTTTGGGTTTGCCTCCAATGTTGGAGAGGAAGCTAAGCTTAGCTGTGTTGGCTTCATCATGTTAAAGTCAGCTTTGTGGTCATCATACTGATGCTCAGCTGGATGGTACGCCAACGCTCTCTCAGCTACAACATCTGTGACATGCAGATTGTATCAGAGCAGAATGAGCGCTGGCCAGTCAAAGGTTGTAGGTGTGAGTATTTGCATTTTTCTTTAAGTTCATTGGAGCTTAATTACGAAGCACTTTCAGACGTTTGGCCTCAGTGGCTCAGGCGTTGCAGAGAGTCTCGCTGGTTCATTCGGCGCTGGTGCGTGCACTTTGTTCATCCTTTCATCCAGGTCACTGGAGCTTCGAAAGCACATCACACAGGATTATATAACTGTCATGAAAAATGCAGCAGGCCTACCACGGCTCATGATATTTCTACTCACTGCTGCAGAGAGATTTGGGGTGATTCAGCTCACTTTCCTCAGATGATGAGTGATAGTGCGCCGGGCTTCATAACACAGTTGATGTATTTTTAAAATGGCATATGCAGCTATAAATAGAGCCGGACTTTTATCAACGTCTCAGAGGCTCCTGCAGAACTGTACTCTGCTTCAGTCAGCTGTGAGCCTTTAACACCTTTAAACAACACTCTGAAGCCCAGGTGACATTATAACAAGATACAACAAGATACCTGGGTGAGTTTAAACTAAATGACACTGTTCAGCACATCAAGGCTGACTCATCCTCAACTCACATCAGAATACATTTCCATTCATACATTACAGTGAGCCTTCACGGGCTGATTTTTTTTTTTTTTTTTACAGTTCATGACGTCATCATCTTCACCTTCGTTGCAGTGTGAAGCTGTGATTTCAGGGATCTGCAAGTGGGGTTATGCCACACTCAGACATGGACACAGTTTCTGTCATAAAATCTTT